GAAAGATCCCCTTCACATCTCATTTCTAAAATATTTAAGATAATGCAGTGTGAGCAGTCATTTGTTGCTAACTGAATCCTGTATACACTTCCTCAGGGAACTGCTTGGCTTCCTTCTGCTGTCTCAGTCCTGTGTTAAGCGCTCCATCTTCAGGAGAGAGAATACAACTCAACCGTTAAATCTCATTTTCAACACAGAAATAGTTTATGCTGATACCCGTTAGAGACCGAAACAGTTCTTGAACTGGGACTCGTGTGGTATTTGTTTTTCACATGAAGAGGTGAATGTCCAGCAGGCAATTTTGACAATACTGACCTAGTGGGGACTTGAACTAAGAGAATGGAACTAGTGGACTTGTATTAGAGCCACAACTTCAGAATATACGGGATTGATAATATTTTTACTTCTGTTTTTTATTTATTGATCGATGGATTGAAAAACGGTGTAGAAAATACTGCTTGGGTAGTCTAGCCACAAATAGCTGCCTACCTATTTAGAAAGAAAATTAGTTTGAAAGGATAGCAGCAAAATTCATTATCTGCAAACAAACTTCTCATGAATTGATTAATGGAATATGTGTTAATGGGACTATGCAGATGTTTAAACAAAGATGTGTATAAAAGATCAGTACTATTTTCTTCTTCATAAGATATGTAATGTCTTGCTCATCAGAATACAGAGTTCCCTAATAGGTCAGTGTATTAATCTGTTGGATCATTGCATCCTGAGTTTAAGACCCCTTAAGCAACTGGAAACAATTCTCCCCGTTCAAGACAGCTGAAAGTGTCGAGCAGTGGAAATGCGAAGGCAGAATTGGCAGAGATCACAAAGGCAGGATATTGTCTTCCATTACTCCCCTAGTTGGAATGCACTCCCTTTTCAGAGAGTAAAGTAGTGACAGAAAAGAGGCTCTCTATATCAGAAGGTTAAAGCAACAAGTTGCATTAACTACTTGAAACCTGAGTTTTCTGAGTTGAAAGAACTTTAGCTCTTTCAGAGATACCAGTCATTCACTGCAGTAATGATATGATCAATACTCTATTTAAGCATTAAAATAAATAGTTTAAGAAGTAGTTTAAATAATAAAGTTACTCAAGACACTTTATTTTCAGTGTCTCATTTCTCTCAGGAAAACGTTCATGCTGTCAAGAATCAGAAAACTAATTAGGAAACAGTAAAGGGATTAAGCATATATTGAGAGCCAACCTTTCATTAAGTCTCCAAATACTCAACCCTAACTAATACACTCAGTTTAGCAAGGTAGTTTTGTAAGCAATTACACATAGTATTTAAGCCCTGAAAGTCATCAGTGGTTAGTAAAAGTTAAGGAAGGAAATAGTTCTGGCCTCTGAGGCAAGGGTGAAAAGGGCAGTATTAATAAAAGACTTCAAAATTATGCCCATAGGTACCAACTAAAACATGGCAACTAGGGATAGATACTGAAAAATATTTATATTACATATTTGATTTACACATGTGCATGTAAAATTAATTACCTTTATTTTTTGATGTCTGGGAAATCACCTTTACTACTTTTCTACAGAGAGGAGGTATGTTTAGGCCAAAGTTGAACACTAGTGTGCACAGCATGAAAAAGATGGTCTTATACAACATGCTGCACCAGGGCTACAAGGACACTTTGAAACCTTTACCAATTCTGGATAAAGTCTGTCCTTCCTTCAGGAAATGCTTGACAAGTTTAATTTGACTTAAATTTGACGATCAAAAGCATTTCTGCTTACCTTCTGGCCTTTGGAATACACTAGGAGTAGCACAGCTGTTTTGAGCTCTTACTACCATCCCTCATGGAACTGACCCTCTTCCTACTAACGGTAACTTAAGCTAAGCAAACGGTGGATATACAGGATTACTAAAATCTGAAGGGGACAATGATGGAAAACAGAGTGAGTGAGTGGGAGAAAGTTTGGTATATACTTCTTCCTGATGCATAGTCAGATACTCTCACGTTAAATCTTTTCTACGTTGCCTGGCCCCTCTTTGCGCTATGGACCACGCTACGCAAGGCAGCAGCATGAAGCAGTGGTCCTTAGCAAAAGATGCCCATCGGGATTGTTAAGAGATACACCAGAAGTTTCCACCTTAGACAGGAAGGTCTTCAACTCTTGTAACAAAAAGAATGCAGTACTTCCATTTTTCTCTTTCTCACACCTTTTTCCTCATTAAGCTACTAGAGCTCTTACAGTTCAAAATGCAGCCACATCCAGCACTGACTAGCACTGCTGTGGAAGTATACAGCATGCCACATGCGCACATCGCGTACGTTGTAGGTGTGCAAACCACAAATCTGAACTTGGCCAGTAAAGCTTTCTCCTTGCAGATTGCTAAGAAACTTTGTTCTCTCACCTTGTTGAGGTCTGTCGTTTGTTCCAAGGAGTATTTTGAGCGGAGTCTGTTATCCAATGTACCTGGTATGACAAACATTCTCCTTTCTGTGGACTAGAGCTTTTCTATAGCTTTTCACACTTTTCTGCAGACTGCAACACCTGCCAGAACAACTACTGAAAAAAAGACATAAAACATTCATTCAATTCAGCTGCAAGTAATCCCTGTAACCTGTGTAAACACATGAATAAAGGGGCTCGTTGCATCTCATGTAAAGACAGATTACACAAGTAAAGATTAAAGTTTGAGCCCCTCTAAATACATTATAAAGAGAATAATTGGTAGTCAACACTGAAATTAAATACTGGGTCAGTGGTATTTTTAGCTTACCTTTAATACAGTACTTTATCAAAAGATAAAATTACATCTGCATGTAATTTTAATTCCTTAGCACAGTGATCTCTCCAGCTTTTTCACTATGTTCCATTAATGGCATATTAGATACACATTTTAAGCTTGCCCAGCACTAGATATCTCACCTGTTCCCAACAAAGTTTTCCAGCAACAAATTTTCCTAGCATAGATGCGTCTTAATGTGACCCAGAAAATTTCTAGCTGTTTTTAAATTATCTTCTGGGGTTTTGCATCTTCAGAAAGTTTAGAGTCTATTGGAAGAGATTCTTAAATTAGAAACATGAAGCCTACTCTTAACTGCCAAGCGTACTCTCCTCAGTTATTCAAATTAAGGTAATGCTCTTATTTTACTAGGTATCCCTAATAAGGTAGTTAGGCAAAACCTGGGATTTCTAGGAATGACATTTTAAGTAACAATGAGAAACTTAGATATGCCTTGAAAAAGGACAAAAACTTACATACATAAGAGTATGTTCTTTTGGGCATCATCTTAGAAGAGAAGTGAAACTGAAGACCTGGGAAAATAGAGAATGGAAGAAAATGCATGCCAATTTTAAATTTTCCTGTGCTGACAATATACTAATACACTTCCTTTGTCCTTATGTAAAGTCTCTTAGGTTTTTTGTTTGGCTGCTTTTTCGGTTGGGTTTTTTAATTTGTTTTTTAAAGAACTTTCCTCCAGCTCATGCTTCCATACTCTCTAAAATGTGTTCTTATATGTAATTCTCTACAGTAACTGTAGATGGTGATCATAATCAACTTCCATATTTCAGAACAAATGGTAACTGAAAGGACAGTGCAGTGGAAATCAGATAGAACTTTCAGAGTACGTTAGTGCCACACATTTTTGAATTCCAGCATTTTAAGATTACTGACAAGCACAGGAAGCAAAAGTTCCTTAAAAAGGGAAGAGAAAATGACATGAAAATAAGATGATTGTAATTTAATTACCCTTAAAATACTGAACTTACTTGAGAATGCAGCACATCATCACACAGTGCATTACAGCAAATGAGATTTTGAATGGTCTCAATTGATGTAACACAAAGCAGAAAAATCTATACACTGAAATTATCGCAATGTGATTGTATTGGGTTTGCGTGGCAAGGTTTTGGTAGCGGGGGGGCTGCAGGGGTGGCTTCTGTGAGAAGCTGTTAGAAGCTTCCCTTGTATCTGATAGAGCCAATGCCAGCTGGCTCCAAGATGGCCAAACCGCTGGCCAAGGCCAAGCCCATCAGTGATGGTTGTAGTGCCTCTGGAAGCCATTAAGTGATGGCGGTAGTGCTTCTGGGATAACATATTTAAAGGAGGGGGGGAGGAAGTCTCTGCAGCCAGAGAGAGGAGTGAGAATATGTGAGAGGAACAGCCCTGCAGGCACCCAGGTCAGTGCAGCAGGAGGTGCTCCAGGCGCCAGAGCAGAGGTTCCCCGGCAGCCCCTGGGGAAGCCCATGGTGAGGCCGGCTGTGCCCCTGCAGCCACGGAGCTCCATGCTGGAGCAGATCTCCAACTGCAGCCCAGGGAGGGCCCCACACTGGAGCAGGTGGATCCCTGAAGGAGGCTGTGACCCCACGGGAAGCCCACGCTGGAGCAAGCTCCTGGCAGGACCTGTGGTCCTGTGGAGAGAGGAGCCCAGGCTGGAGCAGGTTGGCTGGCAGGACTTGTGACCCCATGGGGGACCCACACTGGAGCAGTCTGTTCCTCGAGGATGGCACCCCAGGGAAGGGACCCAGGCTGGAGCAGTTTGTGAGCTGCAGCTCGTGGGAAGGATTCACATTGGAGAAATTCATGGAGAACTCTCCCCAGTGGGAGGGACCCCACGCTGGAGCAGGGGAAGTGTGAGGAACCTTCCCCCTGAGGAGGAAGGAGTGGCAGAGACATGTGATGAACTGACTGCAACCCCCATTCCCTGTCCCCCTGTGCCACTTGCAGGGAGAAGGTAGAGAAATGGGAAGTGAAGTTGGGCTGAGGAGGATGGGAGGGGTGGGGGAAAGTTGTTTTTAATTTTGTTTTTATTTCTCATTACCCTACTCTGATTTGATTGGTACTAAATTAAATTTATTTTCCCCAAGTCGAATCTGTTTTACTCATGATGGTAACTGGTCTCTCCCTGTCCTTATCGTGATGCACAAGCTTCTCATTATATTTTCCTCTTCCCCTGTCCAGCTGAGGAGGAGAGTGACAAGAGCAGCTTTGGTGCGCACCTGGTGTCCAGCCAGGGTCAACCCACCACAGTAACAGACATTTTAAAAAGTTGCAATAATTATTAAAAAGCTTTCAATAAAAAGTTTAAACACATTTAAGTTTCAAAAGAATATTTTGTACATTTTGGAAAAATATAACGTTTACTTTACATAACTCAAACATAAGTTATACTCTTTGTAGTTCGTAAGCTTCCATTATTCATACATCCTCTCATACATTTTCTTTTAATACATCCTTTTCTCTGGATTGTAAATCTAATGCAAAGCTATCACTATTCTGAAGGAAAGCTTGTTTCTTCATTAGTTTCCTGAAAAGTCCATTTGGATTTGCAAGTAGTTCCTCATGTTTTCCACATTCAAGAATTTTACCCTGGCCAAGGACTGCAACAAAATCAGCATTCTGAATAGTAGACAAACGATGAGCAATAATTAGGACTGTCCTCCCTTCCATCAGCCGGTCCAGAGCTTCTTGCACTAGATACTCATTTTCAGCATCCAAAGCGCTAGTAAGAAATGGGAAGCAGGGAGGGGAGAGAGGAGGATATTTGTTATTTTAGACAGGTTAGTTTTGTATGCATTAAGCTTATTTTGCTAAACCTGCAAACCCTTGAAAACGAACCAATGGAACTGCAGGAAAGTTTCGTGAACATGCTTAGCGCACACATCCAAGTTATAGGCATTACGTATCCTCATATGCAAAAGTATGCATGGAGAAATAACACTCAATTACTTCAGTGAAAAAAATTAAGTTATACTGCAGTATAATCATCCCTCTTTAACACTAAGATCCTCATTTAAACTAAAGATACAAAAAAGCTTTAAGCTGATGTTTCAAAATCAAGTTACGTATTACAAATTTAATTCCATGAAAAATTAGAACAGAGTGTACCAGCTATCCTTTCCACTTTGCATAAACAGCTTTTATCACAGGTCTCCCAACCAATTCATACATTCTAGAATTTGCATTCATTTTGTGGGTAAAGAAAAATAAGAGGCTAGATAATTTGTGCAAGGGCATGCAGAGAAATAAAGAAAGAACACCTCACATATCCAAGTTTTACAGATAGATAACTTCTAAGTTTCGATCTATTTTCTCTCTTACCTTGTTGCTTCATCTAACAGAAGAATTTTAGGATTCTGAAGAAGAAAGTAAAATTGGTTACAATAACAATTAGACAAGATCTGAATATTTGTATCAGCAGAGAACAGGATTCATACAGCTGAAAACTCCAAATAAGTGTACTTATTTTATCAAAAGAACTGAGTATCATTCAAGAGAACACTCAAGAGTATCATACTAAGACGACAAAACAGAAACAACACTCTTGTATCTTTCAAATTTTGCAAACTAAGGTAAAGGAACACTATCACCAGATCACTATTTGAAAGATACAAACTAAAGATGGGAGATTTTAATGCATACTTGGCAGCACTGTGGTCAAAAGTTCAATTTCCTATTTACTGCTCTTAAGAGGATCTTTCACACAGGCTGAGCTACCTTCTGCTTGCAGTCAGTCTGCTATATGTAACTGTCTAGGAACAAAAAATAACAAAAACCTACCAACAAGCAGTATTTCACCCACAGATGAAATACATAGTACTTAAAGAACTAGCATTTAAGAACTCTTCCCAACTAAATAAAAAAATCAATTAAAAAAATCACCAGCACGCAAATCTGTAAGAAGCCTCTTCTGATTTACAGTACATAATCCAAATTTGCTTGATGAATTTGACAGTAGAAGCTTCAAACTTTATCTGGAAGAGAAGGGACTCCACTGCACCCCCAATCACCTATATATCAACTACTCATTTTTTAAAACTTTTTTTTTTTTTCCCCAAAAAATAAAGTCTCTACTCCCATGAACTGTACTTGACATGAAATGCAATCAGCTTTTCAGCATTTGTGGTAAAAGAGAACTGGTATCATGAAAAATAGAATACTGTGGAGCGTGAATGTAAGCTGGGTTCAGCAAGGCTCAAAACTTCCAGCTGAGCATTAGCCCCAAACTGCCTCCCTCTGAGGTCCCATGGCTCTCCCTGAACCAAACTCCTCATCCTCTGATTCTCAGAAGCCTCCTCAAATTTGCACAGCATAGATCCTGCCCTAAAGCTAGACCCACACCAACCCTTGAACAACAACAAAAAAAAAAACCAAAACCAAAAGAAAAAAAAAAGACAGACACAACATTGTGCCTGAAATAGTATCGTGTCCCAAATCCAGACCAGTTCCCCTCAAAGCTAAGACAGGGCATCTATAGTGCTGGTAAGCTGTAACCCAGAAAAATCAACCCATGAGTGACAGAGATCTGAACACAGAGACAGAAGTGTCATATATGAGTTTACTAGCACCACATTCTTAAAGTCTTCCTTCATCCTTGACCTGGTGTTTTGAAAGTGAGCCTATTATACAATGATTGACCACCAGTCTCTGTAAAAACTATCGAAAAACATGACTGAAAGGTAGGAAGAAGCACTTACATAAGTAAGTGGTCTTTAGTTAAACTACTCAGCCCTTCCAAACTTCCTCAATAATGTAAAAGATATATATTTCTTTTATTTTCCACTTGCTATTGAAATGCATCCTCCTTTTTAACCCCTTTCTACCTCCCTACAAAGTAAGTAAATAGCTATTTGGGTGCTGGCTTACCTTGAGCAGAGCTCGAGCAATTGCAATTCGTTGCTTCTGTCCACCTGGGGGGAAAAGCTCAGTAAATTGAAATAGGAAAACAAATGTGAAGTAATTTTAACTGAATGTCTGGGCTAAGCAGCATTAGGCACACGTACTTTAGGGGGTGGAATGGAGATGAAGGAGGGTTTTTTTTAATACTTATAGCAAGCTATGACTCGGAGAAAAAAGCTGCTAAGAAAAATAATAGAATTTTTACTTCACTCTGTAGTACCAAGATTTTTAAAATAAGAAATATAAAGATTTACCTGAAAGCAGAATGCCTTTTTCTCCAACTACAGTGTCAAACCCTTTTGGAAAATCACTGATAAAGCTAGCAGCATTAGCTATTTCAGCAACTTTCTGAATCTCCTCTGCAGTCACAGTAGAAGGATCCTCTGCACCATAGGCAATGTTTTCAGCAATAGAACAGGAGAATAGAATTGGTTCCTGATAAATTCAAAAACATAACTAATATGGTAGCTCTGTAACTACATGCATGTATTGCCTATGCCTCAAACAACATAAATTCCACTTACAAGACCCAGCATTAGTTTCTTTTATATCCATACAAAAGAATACGTAAGCTAGAGTTCATTGAATTAAAACCAAACAAATTAAAAAACTCTCTCCTAACACCAAAATGGGCAGTCAAAACCAACTGAAAAATAAGTTGCTCATTTACCTGACAAAACATGACGTATTTGAGAAAGAGTTCAGAAAGAGCTATTCATCCAAACATCAGAAAACCTCCCCTTTGTACTTGACTATATATCATCACTTGCAACAATGATGATTCTTCTTTTAACAATGTCTACACAGATTTTGTGGTATTTTGTGCATTTAATTTATATTAAAGCTTAAAACAGACAGGAGGAATGGCAGATAGGACAAGTGATGTACTATGGGAAAATGTCTGAAACAAGGTAAGTCTGCTCGGTTTATAAAATATAGAAGAGACATGCTATCATATGAATACCAGTATGAATCACCTACTGGTAACTCAAGTGGAATACAGACATTCAAGACGAAAAATGTGCCCACAGGAAAATAATTTTTGCACAATTTTTGGTGGCGTTATTACATAAAGCAGATATTTTGAAGTGCAACGTACACCCAGCTATACTTATGCTTTTAATCAGAACATCAACCTAAGAGTTAATCGCACTGTGAAGCATCTGAGGAGATGAGGAAAGGAACGTACATAGCTTTATTGGTCAAATAGTTTATTTTTAAGAGACCATTGAACATCTCTCTCTACTTTCAGAGTCTAGGGGTTGCTATGGATAGAACACTACAAGAGTAAGCACCAACAGTACTGTATTTTCATGCTTTCCTAATGGAATTGTGTTTGCCTGGAAACAACACAGAGCACAGAATGTCAGTTTTCAAATGGTTGTGTAAAATACGATTGTGTAACTTCCATTAATACAAAATGGGATTAAATGTTAAGCTTTGTGTTACTTTCTTCAACAAATCATAGCAAACATCAAGATGGTCATACCTATACAATTTGCAACAATGTACTTTCCAGTCTCCACATGCACAATTTTCTTTCAAGCTAACACTTTGAATCTCTATGATTACATAAAAACAGACTACAGAGTAACAGGACTAGCTCTGAATAATTATTTTTAGAATAAAGCATGCACAACAGCAGTTATAGTTAAAAGATGAAAGCAAAGCACAGCTTGTTGATTACACAAAATTATTTAATTCAATTAGAATTTTTTTTTTCTTCCGTACCTGACTCACTGTTCCAATCTTCGTCCTGAACCACAGTGGATTTAGCTGACGGATATCAAAGCCATCCACAGTGATAGTGCCTTAAATTAAGAAACAGTAAAGTCAAGTGTGTTTGACAAGTACTGAAAAAAGGCAGAAAGAACAGTTGAGAACAACGACCCCTGAGGAATCACATACTGGAAGATCAGAAATGCAAGGCTGTGCAGGCACCACCACAAGGGAAACATGGTGCATCAGTGCAATAATCACATCAGGACCTCAAGCAGAGGAACCCTGACTGTTTATAAGGTGTATCTGAGATGCAAGGCATCAGCTGTCACAAATGAGAGCAACACACAAAACATACCTGAGATAGGATCATACAGCCTCAGCAGAAGGGATACAATAGTGGATTTCCCTGTACCACTTGGGCCAACCAGAGCCATAACAGAGCCAGCTGGAATGGAAAGGCTAAAATCTTTGAAAATGGATGTTTCTGGACGTGTTGGATATGCAAACTCAACGTCCTTGAATTCCAAAGCACCTCTGAATGTGTCTTTGCCCAACGTGATTCCCTCTGTATGACAAAGAATAAAATACAGGAACGTGAACGGAAACAAAAAAGATCAGCTCAGCTCTCGTTGAACTTGATTTACAGACACCCAACAGAAATATCTTTCTCCATGTTAAATCTAGGGATAGCTGCAAGCCACAATTCAGGATCACAGGGGCTATGTTTCAGCCATGACTGAATCAGTGTGGTACACCACTCGTTCCAGAATGCAATTTCAGGTTGCTCACCAGCAGTGAACCTGTAGGTACCTACAGCAAGAGGGAGAATTTGCATCTTGCTAACACCTAACAACGTTCACTTCTGGTATAATTATCTGAATTTTTAAACATATTATAAACAATTTAAGATTTGTTAATTAGAAGCAATGAAAGAAAATGGCAATGTTGAAGGCCAAAGTCCTGTTGCCATAGAACAGACGCAAAAAGATAGACATTGCAAATCATTTACTGTCCTTTAACTGAGCCACAAAAGTCACCTGAAACACCCTCCCCTTTAGACAAGAGCAGCTCCTTTTACTCCCTTTCCTCCCACTACTTGTTAACTGTGTATCTTTTAAGCAAAGGCTGTCACTGGAATAAACCTGCTGCTAGGTTTGTTGCATGAATGGCCATTTTTTAGATTTTTTTTTTTTAAGTGGAAAGTATATTTAATAAATTCAGGACAACAGTGTATTCGAAGACCAATCAGAGGCATAACTCTTAGGCAACAGTTCACTGAAACTATAATTTCAGTTTGCAAAACACCATAACAAAACATCATGAATGAACAATTGCCAAAGTCAAATAAAACCAGCTTCTTTCTGGAGCACAGCATTTGATTTAAACATTTATCCTAAGATTATCAGTACTAGAAAAAGCTTATAAATAGGTAAGACAAGGAAACACAATTTCTTTAAGCCCTGTTAAATTCCAGTGACACATATCCATACAAAGCAAACTTAATTGGACAGTGGTGCTGCATTCCCAAAGGACAGTGTCTTGCTGACAAAGTTCCTACCGGTTTTGTGAAAACTGCCAGCACCAGAGCAACACCCCAAGTAGTGCTTGTTCATGCTAAAGACACGCAACTCAAAAACCTTAATTCTTTTCAGACGCAGCACACTAGTAACCCCCAACTAGCCACAGCACGTGGTAACACATGCCCATGTTCGGTTAAGCAGTACTCGTGGATAGGAAATGCAGACACGCACCAGTAGTAATCAAGATTTCACTAGTCCTGCTGTTCCTAAAGCACATAATTTGTTTTGCTTTACTTTTTTTCCCAGATTCCCTCCTCTTCTCCGGGTTTTCAGTTTAGTATTAGTAGCATAGAAATGGTAAAGGCAAGAGCATGCAATTTCAGACTCCTTTCTTGACTGTAATCCATGGATATGCACATTGTAACTTGGTTGTTAGGCAAGAGCACAATGGTCTGTAAACCTTCCTTTGGGAAAAGAAATACATTTACTAAATCCTGTGCTAGCAGCATAAGCCTTACTATTATGAAAGTAAAAAGTAATCGCTTATCTCTATTCTCAGTTCCAGTTACTGCACGGTCTATTTCATGGCCTGAAACACTGTAATCTACTGCAATACAGGAAGTCTGGTACCACAAGTCCTTCCTCTATATATTACTGTAAAAATATGTAAAAGCTGTAGACAGGATGGTGCTTGTTTCTTGTTTGGATGCTAGATATAGGGGAAAAAAATAATTCTAATTTGTTCCCAAGACATTTGTTGTCACCAACAACAGCTGGAGTTCCATGAAAATAAAACCTAAGTAGCCAAGGAAGTAGATGTTTCAGGTGAGTTTGGACAATAGAGAAACAGTCTGTTTGTTTTATTGTCTGGTGAGCCAGAAATCAACTGAAATAGTTTCTTGAGACAAAGTTTTATATCATAGAATCATAAAATCTTTGGGTTGGAAAGGACCTTTTAAGGTCATCTAGTCCAACCCCCCTGCAGTGAGCAGAGACAGCTTCAACCAGATCAGGTTGCTCAGAGCCCCGTCTGACCTGACCTGGAATGTTTCCAGGGATGGGGCATCTACCACCTCTTTGGGCAACCTGTGCCAGTGTTTTACCACCCGTTCCTATGTATTTAGTTTATACTGAAAGGAAACCTAAAAGAAGCTTTCTGTTAGTCTATGCTACATGGATGTCTGAATCTTTGTCTGATTTATGTTCTGTCTATAAAATAAAGGTTGTTTTCTGGATGTTGCTATCAGTGTGACTGAACAATTCAATACCTTCAGTAGGAAAGACAACTTCTGCCCCAATACCACTGCTTGCTCTCCACTGGGGCCACTGTAAAGATGAAGACTACTGAAACAATCCAGATTTAAAAAAAAAAAAAAAAAAAAAAAAAAAAATCACATCTAAATGATGATGAAATCAACAGTTGCACTAGGTCTATGAAAGGCACAGCAAACTGCAGTGTGGATAGTCAGTCATGGCAGGAAGTTTAAGCCAGCTCCATTGCTAAAGACAAGAGTGTGTAGCTATCTCTTCATTAGCCAGTTGGTGGTTACCTTTTGGACAAAAGTCTGCCTCCACCCATTGGAGACCATACAGTTACTTTTCACTGGCTATGTAAAGTCCCTGCACATTGAAAAGCATCCTACAGACAGGCTTGCAGCTGTGAAGAGAAATGAGACAGAGGCCAGACTGTGACTTGGTGTCCATCAGATTAAGAACTCAAGGAATTCCAGTGCAGGGAGACAAAAGCAGCACAGAAATCTGAAGCACAGCATTTCAAAAGAACCCCTCTGTATCAACCAACTCAAACGATAAAACTTTATTCTCTATTCCCTAAAGCCAGAGCTCGCTCAAAAATTCCGTTAGGTCTGTTGGATGTTCTTTTCTGACTCTTCCTCTTACAGCAGTCCTTAAAAAGTTTCTATATTAGAGTACTATACAAAACAGAGGGAAACTACAGTGTTGAGAGCTCACATGGACTCTGCTATATTGCATTGCTTTGCAACTTACACAGCTGGTGAAAACTCACATATGACTTTTGCTTAGTGGGATGCGGCTGATTAAATAAAACAGCAATTCACACAGAAAGTGTCTTCTACAGGCAGCTCATTGAGCTACTTTGATGGAGACAGGCAAATGCTTTTTATGCAAAATATACTCAATACTGGAGGGTGTTGTCTAGCTTCCAAACAACAAAGCTGTAAATAAGATGTTGCTGGCAATATATTTTTATTTACTGTATTTAAATATTCAATATTATGGATTAATTAAAGGAAAAAACCCCCACTAAATCTTCATCATCTGTTTCATAGTTCAGAAAAGTCAGAAGAATTACCACTGTATCTAGGTTTGTTTTTATTTTTTAATATAAGTTGGTACTACCTTTAAGTATTACACACATCTTTCTAAAGTATTGGTGACCAATAAAAGAAAAATCACCCTATGAAAAATAACAAACCAAGGACCCACCATTAAATGGAAGTTGGGGCTTCCTTTCAATAAGTTCCCATAGACGTCCACCAGCACCTAGTCCTTTCATTAGTTCGGAATAAAATGAACTTAGACCTAAACAAAAAGCAGACCAGTGTTATGCATCCGTATGGAATGGAAGACATAGAAGATATTAAATTTGCACTATACTTTTCATCACCAGCACTGAAGTATCAGACATGTCGGGGCTCTTTTACTCCAACACACTATCAGACATGTTGATTTGAATCCTATCTAGTCTCACTTCAGAGCTACCAATAACCCTTCTTATTTATATCTGTAAAACAAACCATTCTGAAGAAAAAAAAAAACAAAAAAGTTAACACACATAAGCTTGCGTATACTCAAAAGCAAAGCAACTCTTTTTTTCATTCATCTGTCAGGAAGAACAGCATCCAACTTCAGAGAAATAGCCTTGCATACAACCAACTATATTTTCAATATCAGCAGAACAGAGCACTCTGAATGCCCTTTGTCAGATAAGGTTATACTACTGGAGGAGAACTTGGCTGAGGCAGCCACAGGGGAGGGAAGGCACAAAACCTAATGCTGAACTGATGCTTGAGAAGCTATGTGGAGAATGGCCAATGTAAAGAAATATGTCTCCCAAGTTAGCACACTTCAAACATTACTGGAGAAAGCAAAAGCTAAGGACAAGGCTTGCATATAGTACTGGATCCCAGCTCTTAGCAGCTGTGTGAATCATCTTGGAGCTGGCATGGCTGAAGGGCTTTCCAGCTGAAATAAACACAGAAACCAACCTAGAATCAAAAATGGAGTGAGACACAAACAGAAAATGTCTTAATTCTTCATTTTTGTGTGTCTTTCAGAATGGAGTAACCAATTTCAAAATCTCTGAATTCCAGCAGAATAAACATACAGAATAAACCACTTCTACCTTAAAATGCCTACAGTGTTAAGAGTGATTTCAGGAGGGCAGAAAACCCAAGGTATATTAAAGTAGATTTACTGGTTTATTCTTGCAGAGCAACAAGCCCAGCACAAGGTCACGAGTCTGTAAGTGTAGGCAGGGCATTTCATCATGCTGCTGCTGAGGACTATCTGAAAGCTTGCAACACAAGGCACTAGCCATGGCGAGAAGCTGTCTGCTTGGAAAAAAGAGCCAAAGCATCAACATCCTACAGCAGAGCAGAGGGGAGAAGGCACGAGCCTCAGAGAGCGCCTTGAAATTGAGACACTGAGTTTTGCAAATTCACAACCACTCATAAAAAAAGTTATATAAGGACAGCAAATACTAATTAGAAAATGTTTTTCATTTTCATAACCTGTCTTCAGTATTTGGTAGAAAACACAGCAAACTGTTCGAACAAAAAAAATCTAAGTCCTAAATTATGCAGTGTTCACAGTTCATTGCATGAACTCCTATATGTATTGATGATGACATATACCGAGCAGACTAAGCACTTTGAAGATTTATATGCTTTGTAGGCATCAAGAAAGGTAGGCCTCTTGCAGCAATACACCTTTACTTCAGAGTCCTCATGAGAATGAGCTCTGTGCAGAACTATATTCTTCAATAACCGTAAGTAGAATTTTAAAAGACATTTTTATCGCAAAAGTTAATTCAATGACATTTTATCAGTGTTTCTAACCCTATTTTTCATTTATTTAAAATTAATTTGTCCCATGTTTTCGAAGTGCCAGTATCTGTCTGTTGGACAAACTTGAATGATTTAAGCAGAGAAGAAAGTGTTCTGGGAGTTGGAATGGTCACCACTGGAATTTTGATACCCAAGGAAGCAGGTTTAGTGAATTTTGCCCTCAGGCACATCTTTGTGCTTCCCATGATATCAGGCTTAGTCTTAGAAAAGAAGAGTATAGACGAGCTGCGTTGCCCTGCCAGTCTATCAGAAGTAACAGACTCATTTTAAAGAAGAACCCTTCCAACCAGTTGTCAAACTTCAAAGTACCTTATCTTCATTTTTGCCTGTATGCAGTAGTGGAGACTGCTCTGTCAAAAAGATGAACTGTTTGTTTCTGGGCCAGTAGATTACAGTGTCTGAGCTTCAAGGAGTTGTCAGTCAGTAAGGAAAAACAAAAGGTTAGCACTAGTGTAGTGTTCTGCTGGCACTGTTTACTTGTTCCAGCTCAAGACACTCTATACTGAATTACAGCTAAATTCCACATGCCTTTCTTAATAGAGTACGTTTAACACAGACCCACATACTTTGGAAAAAAAATGTAATACCAGTATTATTTCTTTACACAATATACCAAGTATCTTGATTTAGACACAAAGAAAATTAAAGTAGTATGTATCTGTCACAGACACACATTGAAAAAATAACCTCTGTATTCCTTTGGGAAAATGGAAGGCTTATATTAAGTTATAAAGCACTATTTTCATTAAATCTTCAGAAAAAAAAATATGTATGATTTCTTGGGAAGATCATTTGGAAGAGACTTTTTAAGAAAGCCACATCTTTTAAGAGCTTCTTCCCTCCCGCCCCCGTACTGACTGTAATGCTTTGAAGTGAAGAAAATCTAATTTCTCATTCCATACCTCCAATGCTTATTCCAACCCAGAAAGCATACATTAGAAAAGATGAGAGTTCACCAACTGTCATGTAGGCACTGCCCATTAGTAATCCTCCTTTGTATAAGACTGAGAGGACAATTAAATTTCCGGAAAGGCCAGTCTAAGGAAAAAGAGGAAAAAGCAGCTTTTGTCATGTACATCTTAAACTTCATCCTCTAAAATGTTGTTTCAGAATTTTCCTTCTAGTAAAAGAACTCCCATACTATGGGTATCTAGATTTTAGGAGGACTGAGTTAAACGTGAACAAAACCAATTCTAAAGCAAACCAAGCGAACAGCCGGGAAAAATCCAGTGGCATTGCACTTTGCTATCCAACAAGTGTTCAAAAAGCAAGCAACTCTTTTTTTGTGTTTTATTTTTTTCTTACCTCATTCCCTAAGATGGAAAGGAACACCAAACATTACTCTCAACCATAATCGAAAGAGAAATGTTGATAGTCTGCAGTTACGATTCAGTTTTAGAACACTGTTAAGCAAATTCACTGCAAACTGTTATGGAAAAATGCAGTCCTACTCTCCCTCCCCCATCTGTGCACTCCCCCAGCTTCCTTTGCATTGACGCTCATCTCCTCAGGAAGCCAAACCTGTAAAATGCTAAGGGTGGGGGAAGGTTTCCACTGGTTTAGTTCCCTGAATAGGAGGTGTGGGCTCAGATAAATAGTACCAAGCTATGGGGTGTGGGGCAGAAACAGACTTAAACTGGCTTTATCATACCATTGTATCTTGAAGTACTGTTTCACAGCAATTCAGACTGATTTAAACCCAGTCTTCCCACAGTTTCATGTAGGTTCAATTTACACTCAAATTATTTATTTGCAGAATTATAAGTATCCTCATGAATTTTAAAATAATTGACAATTGGCATAACATGGTTGGTTTACTTTCATCAAAATACACTCACTGCTCCAAAGAAGCCTGCCCGAGCTAGTGCCTCTTTTTTAGCCAGCTGTAGCACATAATCAACTTTATTTGTATACTTCTCCATTTCAGCCACTTCTTGCCCAAAAGCTCGAACTGTTCTTATGTTTCCAATACGCTCTTCAGCTAACTACATTAAAAGAAAGAACAAAACAAATATACAGACACACAATTTGTAATGTTCGTATTACAGAACATTTGAAAGTTAAACCAATATCACTACACTAATCTCCAAATACATTCCTTTGGATGCCACTGGAAAATTTCTCACACCCCCCCGCCTTTTTTTTTTTTTAAATACTATTAAGTTAACAGTAAACTGCATGCCCAGGCAGTTTGAAAAGAACTTCAAGATTGCCTTAAGTGTTAGCAGAAAAAGAAGAATATAAAAGTAGGGTTAAAAAGACACCTTAATTTGATGTGAACAGCACATGTAAGAAAAACACTATTCACAATAACTTGCAATAACAACGTGGGAAGGGGAAAAATAAAGAACATTCTATTCTACAGTAAATCATGCAAGAAAGCCTACAGTTATTTCCTGAAACAATTCCACTCATTTGATCAAAGCAACACTGGAAATTAATTTAGCTCAACTACTAATGTCCTATTTCAACTCAGTATTTTAACTTCTAAAACAGCAAAGTGTTAGTTCTAAAATTACCTCAATCGTAACCAATTAGACTAAGTTGTTAATAGACACTGTGATGATCTCACAAAAAACAAGGCCTCCTTTTGTGAGTAAAAATATGATATAAAAATGTAATTCTCCTTCTTCCATTCCCCATTCAACCTGAAAATTTGAATGAAACACTAAAATTGCGTGTTCATGTGAAGTCCCACACCTGGTTTACAAAGGCATGAGCCTCCCTTCAACACAGGATGAGGAAGATAACAGAAGAGGGCTAATCTTCCTTTTGCACTGTCAATTTGCAGAAGTCCTACACAAGACATCGCAAGTTTAGAACAGCTGACAACTGTGGCTATTTTAACTAGGTCTTTCCTAATTATATTTCTATGCATTTTAATGATGTTTTCCCACCCTCAGTCTGTGAGAAAATGGTCACTATCACTAATATTTCTCTGCTAGAGCTTTGCAATATTTCAGAGCAGTTAGCAAAAACAATGAAGGCACCTCTACTACAACCTCTGTAAAACAACAGCAGCTTCTACTCTCCTCCTGAATATCTGGGTATGTGCTGACATGCCCAGAAAAGTTTAAAAAATGTCAAGCCTCATAAACATTAAAGAGTGGACAATAAGGTCAAAGTCAAGGTTTCATTCCAGAGAAGGACTTGCTAGCAAAGTTTTCTTAAAAGATGGATCTCTCTAGGATGTTTCTGATGTTCAGACTCCTAACCATAGACCAAGAAAAGTGTTTTTCAAACCTAGGTACCAAATTAAAGAGGCCTTCATAGTCTGATTTCTTTATGCTCTCACATGGATAAAGCCTAACCTCTTTATCCTTTCCTACATTCCCAAATTCTCAAGGCCTGGTACCTCCACATTATATTGTTACGGGCAGCTCTTTATAAATCATGGTTGGTTTTGAGATCTATGAGTGTTACTGAGGTTTACCCTTCATACTGTTCAGGTGCAAAACCACAGGCTCGGCATGGCTTAGGGCAATGAACAGTACGATTATCTTCAGATCTGTACTTCATAGATATTAACCTAAATACACTAGAGCAACTTTGAAGTTAACTAGAAAGCGTCTGTTAAAAGATTACCTGTGTTGCTTCTGCAAGAGAATCTTGGGTCATTTTAGTAAGTTTTCGCAAGTATCTTCCATAAATCACAGCCAGGACAGCCAAGGGTGGCACAACGCTCAGAACAAATGCAGCAAGGCTAGGAGACACAAAAAACTAGGAGAAAAAGGTATGTGTCAGGGATTAGCGTTCAGATTAAAAACATGCCGCTGGAGTAGTGAAGTACAACTTCCCTCGCTAGAGTTTTCTAAAACTAAGATTGTACTTCAGTGCTGCCATGCTTTCATTTATCATGTTTTATTTCTTCCAGGCAAAATATTCATTCCTCCACAACATTTGGGGAATGTATCCCACAGTTAGGACAAAGGAGTATATACACAGGGGTCTGGATTTCATTTCTAGCTTTCTCACTGGTTCGCTGTGTGGTCTTAGCCAAGTATCTTAACCTGCCAGTAAACAGGCCTGCCAGTAAACAGGCCTACCAGGAAATCTCTTGGGGATGCTGAAAGACATAAGCTATTATACAGTTTCTGAAGTGCTTTCACAACTTTTAAATAGATGGTGTAATAGAGAAAGCTTGAGTAGAGAAATACTGTACACTACTTCTGGGTAACTAAGGAACAGATGGAGTCACCAGTGCTCCCTAGCACCCACAAATACTTATAACCTGGAATAATGGATTTAATTTACTGTTGCAAAACCTTATCACTTGTAACAATCATCAAAGTTCCTAAATAGGTTCTTTCATAAGATTTATTGAAAGTAGATCCAGTGTGTTTTAATTTCATCTTGCTTTCTCTATTGAAAACAGAAAAATCTCTAGAAAAATTTAAAATCAACTTAATTGACAGGCTTTATAATTATTTTGTAATAATCTCTTCTTTCTGGGCAAGCTTTCATAGTTCACCTTTTAACACTGCATCATGGCAGCATTTTTGAGCGAATGCCTTACATAAATTTATTCCGATTAATCTATGGTAAGATAAAACCTTAGACTCTCTTTGCTTAGATAAATACAGAAAGCCATAATTTTTATCAGTGACAAAGTATTAAAGCTTTAAAGCTTCACAGTTTCTAATAACATCAATCTTGGAAGCTTATTTTTATGAGGAGACTTTTTGCTGTTTTTAACTCCAGGTAGACAGCAGAAATTACCACACTTAAATGAAAGTGCTGTCTTTGCTCACCTAGGCCTTAATCAGAATCAACCAACTTCAATGATTTTTACATCAGGCCCTTCACACCTTATTTTACCTACAACCATGGGAACATCATCACTGATTTTAGTATTTTCAGTAAGAACAGAGTTAAACCATTTGCCTACTATACTTTGCTTGATAAATTCAGGCAGTGACAGCAATTCATTTCAAACTCTCATTCTCCATATTTTGGCTTTTGAGTAAACATCAAGTGGCTACAGGCGCACCATCTATTGCAATGCAGTACATGGATAACCACTGAAATACACTTGTATCCCAAGAATCATAGAATCAACACACAACAGTTTCTGGACTGAATCGCATTCGCACATTACCTAAGAGAACTGAAACAAACGTGAAACTACAAGAAGTGACAAGCAGGGAAGAGACCACCATACCATCATCCCAACACCCACAGACGCCTGTGCTCCTGCCCTGAGGCCATCTGAAAGGTTTTCAGTCACTGAACGGCCCAAGAGGGCTGTATCTGAAGATAAGCGGTTTATCAGCTCTCCTGTTCTGGTCTTGTCAAAGAAAGCGGTTTCTTGCTTCAGAATAGAGGAGAACATGGTTGTTCTCAAACGTTTCACAATTCTTTGTCCTGTCAGAAACAGAGGCCAGTCAAGCATGGCACACAAGACTACAGACACCAACGGTATAAAAATCACAGGATTACACAGCACTGAATAAGTCACATTAACAGAGTTTTAATATACCAGAAGATAGTGAGCTTTAAGATGTCATGTAACAGTAAATAAAAATGAACAATTATTCCAGCATACTTGCCTTTGCACTATTAGTTCACCTTTGATCTGGTAAAAAAAGCTACTGATTCCAAGAGGATCTCTCAACCAGTGCCAAGAATTTATTTCAGATCATTAGATATCCTGACTCTGTGAAAGAACATGACTCTCAATAGCACTTTTTGCTTCTGTTTTTACCTGCAGTCTGCATGAGGTAGACACGAGTAGCATTAGCAGCAGCACCACATAAAAAGATTCCACTCAGCAAGGCACACAGGCTGGTCAGGCTGTCAGTGAAGTCTTCACTGGGATTTGTATAAATAACATCAATAACTTTACCCAGAAAGAAAGGGGCTGACATGGTAATGACACTGGAAACTGTCAGAAAGCCAACAGCAGCTGAAAATCAACAAGGAAAAGGAAAAGAAAATTATGTGGAATTTGCAAGTTCATTAATAGTACATATGAAATAATTTTTCACTTTATATTTCTATTAAGCTTGCAAGTGTCAGCATTAAATAATCAGCATTCTCTTAGGCCCGGTTCTGAACAGGACATTTTAAGTCACTGCATAAATTAACTTAGCCAAGGCACATTTTAAGATCCTAAAAGCCTCTGTATAGAGAGTCCTGGAACTGCTTCTCTCATCTAACCTTCCCCACCACCACCTGACAAAGTTAACACTTCACAGATTACATCCTTAGAGAGCATTCAGTTAGCAAGTCTTCCATATCTCTCACACAATCCTTCACTCCTGTTTAGTTTGCTTTTTATTATTCATGCTTGCTACCGTAATAAAGCTGATTTCTGAGCTAGCAATGGACTGAAGTAAAGATCTGTTGTGAGAACTGTCTAAAACATGCACTTTTATTTGGAAAAAAACCCAAGCAAACAAATATTTGATCTACTCTTGAGGGGCAAAATGTATATACATTTGTTTCGTTTTACTCTTTAGTATTGCTGGTCTGAAAGAAAATCAGCATAGGTTTGAATAGAAGTCTATTTGCTGATGAGCAGAGCTCCTGAATTCCAGTTGCAAGATCACCCATGAAACAACCTGTGTAACCATTTGAAGCTGTATCACAGAGTATGAAAAATTGCACTGGACCAAGACTTAGCCTTTCGAACTTTAACCTGCAAAGAAACTTCTTGAGCCAAGAACACAGCTTGGAAGGCTGAGAACCAGAAAAAAACCCTTATAATTGAAAACTGAACAAACTTGATATGAAAACCACTGAACCACAACAAACAATACCATTTATACAGCATGATTTTCCAACAGCCAACCCCACACTTAAAGCAACCATTCATAGGATTGCTGCAAACTAGCAGATAATGACTTTAAAAGCAAAAAGACACTGTACTGAAAATCCTGAATTTGCCTGAGTTTTAACTCCATTCTAATGAGCTGCTTGTATCACTTCTATGAGGAAGACGGCAAAGAGCCTCCCAGCAGCAACACTGCTGTAAGAAATATTTCTAACATCTGTCACAGAGGGTTTGATGCCTCTTACCACCTCCACACACACGCGTGAAGCTTTGCTTCAGTTTGTACTTGAAGTGTAAATACAGCTGTGCATTTATGATGAAGAATTCAAGGTACAAAAAATGCATACCTGCCACCACCTGAAGCAAACACTTCTCTGCACCTTCACTTCAATGCCCCAGAGCAGTCCTGGGAAAGCTCCACACACTGCCCAAACAAACTTTATCCTTGCCAATGTGTCCAACCTGCTGCCTGCGGTTCCATTCAAGATTTTTTTGCCATCCTTCTGTTGCATTACACTCAGGCCAGCAAGCATGTTAAAGGTAAAGAACTCAGATCTTGAACTTGAAACTACAGAAACTATAAGAAGCCAGAGCAGGAAGGGGAAGAATTCCTGCTGCAAAGTTACGTGATCCATGCCATAGACACATCCCATAAGCATATTATTCACTAGCTAATACTTCCTTAGAATAAGTGACCTTATTAACAGGCTGGCTGCATTGGTGTACTCAAGCTGTGAAGCAGTGGGAAAAATCCAGTGAAGGCTAGGTCATCTCCTGTCAGGAAAAGCTGGTCTATAAGGCAGCTCGAGATGGTCAAATGCATTGCTTACAAGCACAGTGCTGCATGGCAGCTCAGTCTCCACTAGTCCAGACAATTTCTCAGTTACGGATGGAACTGGACAACTGCATATATAAATATTTACTGAAAGAAGAGGACTGTATGGCTAAAAATGTCATATATCTCCATCTAGCTGTATGGCCTTCCTAGCTTGGGTTTACCTTCATCTCTTCTTCCTTCAAACTAGCACAGGTTTCACTGTAATTACTTCCAACAGCCTTAACTGACTAAAAGGTAATACTAATACATAAAGCAAATGGAAGACTACTAAGCCACTTAAATATTAGACAAAGTTTCAGTAATATATTGGAACAATACAGTCCTGAAGACAAAAGCTTATATAATCCAGATGTCACTTTTAATTTTCCCCTTAAGCAATATGCTTGTCTATATTGATTTAATCACAAATCACATGCAAAATAAGGTTCCTTAATTGAAACTCTCACTTTGATTATACCAGAAGAACTAGAAAATAGCACAAATTCTAGGCTGTTGCTCTTTGTTTGTTTTAAACTGTTGACTAATTGAAGAAACAGGAATCAGCACTCACTCTATCTCCCCATCCAAAGAGCTGTCATTGCGATAATTGGCTAGGGGGAGGAGTACAGGGTGTTCAGCAACCAGATATAAAGACACTTCAGTGACGTTGAAGGTTGTCACTGGCAGGAAAAAGGTCAAAGTAAACTTTATAGTATTAGTTTCACATAGCTTACTCTGTTACCTGGGAAATTAATGTCAAACAAGTGTGTATTTTGGAAGCTTTATTTTTTAGAGTAAATCCGTTTTGTTGGCTATGAGATTAAAATAAATATAATGTGAGGTGGATCAATTGAACTTTTATAAAACCAGGGCTACATCAAAGTGGCAGCAAAAGCGAAGAGAAGGCAAGCTGGCTCCAGCACTGGCTGAACAGTCCTCTTGGAAATGTTAGGCAAACATTTTGCTTGTCTACTTGCACAGAAATCCAGATAGCTGTGCAGACAGAAGTCCAGATCAATGCACAGACAAAATGATGCCTTTACCACTATGGAGATCAACGTGCTCTCTGTTAAAGCTAATCTGGGCTTACTTCTTGACAGAAGATCTGCAACTGCATTATCACAGTAAATGTATTCAGGGGCCAGGAATTGGTCACCAACTGATAAAACAGGACATTTACAAGCCATAACTAGGCAGACCTATCAGAAAGCCCTCTTCAGAACAAGGACTAAGTGACTCCAAAGAGTCATAAGCCAGTTTTCTACAGGCAAGAACAACACCAAGAGAGCAAAAGTTTCTAGTTTTGCTGGTCCTTACCAGAGCATCCTTCTGCCCCAGTACAGTATGTGGAAAAGTACACAGCCAAAAAAATGCTTGCAAGCCTGTTGGGGGAAGGGGTATTTTAAACACAAATACATGAAGATTTGACCTCAGATGAATTAAGATCATTCAAGAAAATCAGGGATGAATGACAGAAAAGTGAGGTAATGATGACATTTGGCAATGCCTGGTAACACAGCAACTGGACACAGTACCTAATTTTTACTATTCAGTTAGGTTATTAATGTTACCTCCCTGAATCTTTCAAGTATTTTACTGGTCTCATTTGAAGATCAGGTCTGGCAGGTCAGAAAGTAAGCTTTGGATTTGTGAGAAGTACCCTTCTACCAGTAACCAAGAATGTCTGTCCTCTACTCGTTGTCTGTGCAGTTTTATTCTGATACACAGTGACCTATTTTAGCTTAACACTGAATTTCCACAAGGGCATTTGGAGTGACAAATAAAGTCTATTGTATTCTACGATGTGCATGCATGGAGATTGGGCTCTTCAGTTGTTCTTTTATGGTAGAAAGATGCACTGATAAATTTTGTATTTGTTGGTTAGGTAAAGTCCATATCCATTTGGTGAGTCCTGGCCCACAAGGAATATGTTTTGAACCAGGTGAAGGACTGCTATCAACTCTGTGAAGAGTCAGTTCTGCAAATATTTATTTCAAGATAAAATCTTCTTCCAGAGTTACTCTAAGCACTTAAGGATGTTCTGTATAGTTCTAGGTTAGGTATGTCTGGGGTGGTTTTCTTTCCGTGTTAAGCTCATACATGATATCTGGACTGCACCTATTAATATGCAAGATGAACCTTTTAGAATCGTCCTCCTTACATTACTAAGAACAATTGTAATACTGTGCTCGGAAAAGAATACAGTGCATGTCTGACAGCACCACTGCATACCACATTGTGGTGCGTTTTGGAAAGCTGCTGGTGTTTTGAGTGGAGTTGTGTTAATTTGCAGGTACTGTCAATATACTGAATCTTGCAAGTTACTATCTCCAGTGATCATCATGGTTTTTAGAAAATGTTTATAGGAGTATTCTATAGGCAGTTTGATGTGGTTATTGAATCTGTGATGTTTTTTCTTGTCTTTTGTTATTTTTTTAAGCATGAAAGAGCAGTTCAGGTTTCCAAATGGCAAAGACTGTTTTCTTTGGTGCAACAACAATACAATTGCACAACTTACGGAACATATCTTCAAGACAACTCGTAAAAAGGCTGGCATACTGTGGGTCATCTGACTGACCAGGATTATACAACAGTTTTCAGAAATTAATAGTTGCAGAAAATCGCTGTGGGACAGAATTAAACAAGAGAGACAGGCAATACCTTTGAGATAGTATCTCAAGAACAGGATGGGTGTCCAGGGTTTGGAAGGCACAGTGAGATACCAGCAAAGGAGCGAGCCCCAGAGTATCGGCTTGTGGCATCCCTCATGCTCAGAACATTTACACAATGCAACTTACAGAAGAAGTCTAATCACATCGAAGAAAGCGTGCTCTTTGAGTCATGAAGTGTTCAGGATTGACAGAAATCACCCTCAGTAGCTCCTCAGTGAGGCTCCTATGATCAAATAGGACACACCTGCCAGAAGTCCTTTTCTATGGAGCAAACAAAATATCAAGGAGCCTTTGCAGAGTAGGCAAGGGGGTTTGTCAGAAGACCTTTCAGAGAAGATATTTAATGGGAGAAGTGTCTTTCTAGGCAGAGCAGAACACAGTGATTTGAGGAAGCCCAAGAAAGGGAAGAGCGAGGAAGACTGCCACTTTCCACAGGAGAGGAGAGGAAGAGGTAGCAAGGCACACAGCTTGATGGAAGGCCTATGTGCAAAAGCTCCACTAGAAAGCAAAGATGGAGGCTTGACTCTGACTGTAAGCAAGAATCTTCACTTCCTCTTAAGAAAGAGGAAGGTATCTCCGTTTTGCAATTTGGTATTATCAATACAAACAGTACCACAAGATAGTCTTTTTAAGACACTCCCAACCAAGAGAGAGTACAACATTTTTTTATCATGCATTTAAAATTAAAGCATTTAACTTGTTCATATTTATCCTGTGTAGAAGACAGTCTTTATATCAGACCAATCTAGTTGTTATTCCTTCTATCTTCAAAATTTACACAAATAGTGAAGCAAAAACATTCCTCAGAGAAACTAAGTTGTAAGCACCTAACTGATCACAGTGGTCAGCAGCTACCGTTTCTGCAATGTCTTAACCAAAAAAGCTTCATTAGCAGTTCACCAACAATTTGAAATAAGGAACTGTCACCAAGTAGCCACAGAAATGCAAACTTTTTATGATAAAGCTACAAGGCTATTTGGACCTTTTGTAAGCTTCATACCAAAACACTGACAAAATCAGAAGAAAAACTATGGGGGGGAAACAACAAGAAAAAAACCATGTAGTCGGTTTGAATTCTACAAAAGACACACTGCACACGAGAAAGCAATCAGCAAGTTACCCCTGTATATACCACACATATAGGAATTTGATTTTAAAAACAAGAATTGCCTTCAGAAAATTCAAGTTGAGTGTGGTTGTTGAGTTGCTTTGAGATGAGCAGAACCACTTTACAGTAAGAAAGAACAGTGGCCATGTACATGGACTTGTGAGGTGAACCCAAGTTTTGGCCAGGAATGACCCAGCTACTGGGTGACAGCACAGAAACAGCAAGATTTACAAGACGGGCATTCAAACCACATTCCAAATAGAAGGGTATTCTAGTGCCTGTAAGCTCCTCTGCTCCCACCAGCTTTCTTCCCATTATGTACACTACAGAATTAATTCAACTCACTGTCAAGGTTTGAATGTGTGTATGAAAACACATTTTTCAGAGAGATGCCACTTGTCTGACTTTAAATTTAATTTTTAAATGGAGGGAGGAAAAGCATACCTTTAACAGTGCATGGATTACCTGCTGATGTTCAAACTCATGCTACAAAACTTGCAAGAGCAAAAGTTTCAAAATTAAACCAATTAAATGTTACTACAAACTAAACACATTATCTGCCCCATTTAATTTCCTAAAATAACTGAAGTTTTCAAAGATACTCCTACTCAAGTACTTAACATACGAAATATCAGCTTGTACAAGTATAACTAACTGAAAGCATGACTTTCTAGTAGCAATACTCACAGCTGATGTGTTCTACATTTCTATCTGCATCTTGTGCCAAAAAAAAAAAAAAAAAAAAATAAAGTTGCTTACTACCTCAATCATCCCCAATCCAAGGAATTATTAAAATAGTTCCTGAACTACATGAAAAATATACCTAAAAATTCAGGTAGTCTTAGGGGTAGCATTTTTTTTAATTGCCTTTCTTTAAGAATTTTTTTATAGGAATTTTTTCCTTATTAGAAACTACAAAAGATAAATCTACAGCAATCCAGTACTGCTCATTCAAGAATGAGCAAGTGCATCACCTGGTGTAAATTCAAACTACAGAAAAATCAGATTATGAATAAGGCAGTGCTCTTCTGACTTCATGGCAAATGCTAACTTATAGGAAAACAGCTATTACAAATGATGCCCAAAATTCTAAAATAAAACCTATGAAATAACACTTCTTGTACACGTCTAGCAAAGACCTGTGCACAAAACAAACCTTCTTACTTTGACTCAGAGCACAGTAAGTGTTATACAGGAAAAGGGCACACTTTGCTATTGGATTAAAAAATTTGGAGTTCCTTGTGCTTACTTTACAATTCAATAGAACTATTGTTTCCTTTGAGTGTGGTTTGGATAAAGCGCAACAGACAGTTTCTCACAGAGAGAAACAAGGATGCAGGAGGAAATAAAAGGGATAATTTTGAAAAGGCATTTTTGTGGCCTCGCACACACAGCAGGATTTAATAACTTCAACAATGGCCCTGTCCTCTTCCCAGGGAATTGAATTTAACTGAAGACACAGGTTTACCTATATGATTGCACAAGATGAGCCAAAAAAATTCCTAAAATTACTTCCCTCCTCTGTTAAGTCTGGGAGGTATTACAGAATTTACAAATTCCTAATTTCACTGCACGAAACTGTGGCCACTAACAGAGTGAATTGCCATCATGGTATTTATCCATCTTTTTACCACTTTTAATAAGAACAACAAAATTTAACACACATGTCCTGTTTAAAATATATTCTCAGCTCTACACAACTCTAGAAGAAACTGAAGATGAAATTTGGCACATTTATTTTCATTCCTAAGAGCCTTCAGAGGGTCAGAATCTCCTTCTGTGAGGAGAGCACTGCAAGAGGTGCTGCGTGCCGGCGCACTGGAACTCCTGGCCAGAACACATCGCTTCTTCCTGAGCCAGCAGATGGTGAAGAGGCCCTGTGTAAAACAAGATGCGACTGTCTCTTTTGGTGCCTGTCACAATTGGAGCTGGTAACCTTCACCTCTGTACCTACACCTCCTCAGCTAATGCCATTTCCCCACCGTACCAAGATGAGCGATCCTAGTCTTGCTCAACTTCCTCACAAATCATCATCCTCTGCTCGCCAGGCCTCTGCTGTCATCATTGCATCTATTTCATCTTCTGTGACCGTGAATTTCAGTGCATAACTGCAACGAGCAGAATATCATGATCCGGGCCACGTGGAATCACAGAAAAGGCATATGTCACTTCACAGTGGTAATGTTACACACCTGTGTTGCCAGCTACTGCTTATATAAAATGCAAAAGGTCTGGAAGAGCTCAACTTTCCTGCAAAACAAAACTGTACCTGTAAAGCCTCTGAAGAGATTCCCACAGCAATTGCCTACCATTTATATGTACTTGAAGAGGAAATTAAATGTTTTACCCATTAACCTTCCTCTTTCTTTGAATGCAGGAGAAAGAGAGATGCTGAGTTTTTAAGGAC